TCCAATCTATAAATATAAAAACTAGGATGGAGAGAATGAAGTCTACTAATTCTAAAAATATGAAGGATATGGTACCAGATTTTCAGTGGTACTTAAGCAGTTAGGCACCTAATACAATTTTCAAAAAATGTCTCCTGTGGGGGTTAGGCACCTAATCTGTTTCGGGAACGTAAAGCTTTTGAAAATCTGACCCATGATGACCAGAAACGAGCTAGTCAGTTCATTAACTTTAGATGATACTTCCTTAGTTTAATAAATACATTAGTTTAAAATGCAAGGCATAATTTGATAAATGTTTTTATGTATGTAGCACATTTAAGGTAGTTTTATTTAACTCATAAAAATAAGTTTTCAATACTGCTTTTGTGTATTTTTAATGTAATTCAAATTTTCATTCTAATGTAAGTGTGAAAGAAATCACAAGTAAAATAATTACCATCTTATCATGTAAATAGAAAATGGTGAATAACACATTTTTAACATGATAAAAATGTATACATTAAGAATCTGAACAAATGTATTTAAGTAACATATATCCTTAAATAGATGTATGTAGATATAGTGTAAATTTGATTAGCAAAAAAGCACCAGTGTTTGGTTTAAATGCCATATTTGCATTGCAAATCAACATATTTAAATGATCATGACAGCCAAGAAAAACAAACCTTTCTTTTGGACAATATACAAATACAAAACAAAATTAATATTTAAATCAAGGTTTCCTGTTTGCTATTTGAATCACTTTAATTTCAGTCAAGCCTCACCAATGAGGGTAGGAGGTAATTCCTCTTAACTTGTGTCTCTTATCAGATTCTTGCAAGCCTGGAGCTGAAATCTATCAATAGAGATTTTCTTTAGGCACTAGGGTTAGCATTTAGGACTGCCTGACTACTGGTCCTGTTATCTGACTACTCTGCCGTGTTACCAGAGTTGCAGCTCAATTTCTAAGCCAAATTGCATCCATTAATAGTAGTCACATTACTAAAGGTTTTTATATGGGTTAAATAACTTGTTGTCAAACTGCTGTAGCATTTTTATCTGTGCTGGAAGAGCAGAAGTGGTGTTTGGGCTCCATGCGACCGGCTGAGCTGTGAATCGACAGATGATGTTAATAGGCATTTGAGGAAAAAATATATTTTAAGCTGTCTAGCTGTTTGCTCTCTGTGAGGGCTGTGAGACTAATGGGCCTGAAACATTGCTCATGCTTGCTCTTTCTCCAGTGTGACTCTGACCCATGCAAGCATGTTAAATAGTTTGTATGAAAATAAAAGAGCAAACTGCAATTAAAATTTATTTTGATAAGGTTTAAATCACAAGCCTATTAACCTTGGCAGGTCAGCTAAGTAGTGCACAGTGTAGTGATTCCACTTCTGGCTTGTAATCTATGTTCCAGTAATAAAGATGATGTGCCGTGTGAGGTCGGTTCTAGTAGGCGCGTTTTCCAAGGTAGCACTTTTTAAGATAGTTCTACTTTATGCTTGACCTAAGGAGTCTTTGGGAAAAGGGGTGTGTGTATTGGCAACCACATATCTCTGCTGCAAGCATGTATGTTGGGAAAACTCTTGCATTGCCATGAAATGTTTTTTTCCTGCTGTGTAACACAGGGTCTTAGTGTCCAGGACAGGACCTGCTTATAATGACTGGGGAACAGCCTGGCACAATACTCCAGTGCGGGGAAGAGTAGCAAAGAGACAATATTTCCATTGCTCTCTTGGAGGGTCAGGTGCTGTAAGGTATCTTTAATAGGAGACCAGTTGATAGGGGGCCATCATGGGGCTGCCCTGAATTGGTGCATCACACTCCCTTGAGAAGCCTAGATAACCATCTCATGGCCACACCCACCTCTGAGGATGTGCTCCTGTTGGCTGTGAACCTTCTGGCAAAGACAGATGCCTGGAGTCATTTCTGTATTCCAGCACCTGTCTGGACTGTCTGCTGCTGGGAGCTTTTGACAGGGTCTGTGCTGGCTGCTTCTGGGAGAAAGGGACAAAAGAAGGTGTCCCTAAGCAAAGGTGTGGGTTTGAAAGGCTTTGAAGAGACATAGAGTAAACTTGACATTAGTGTGGGAAGGGGTAAGAAGCCAGTGGAGTGAGGCTTGGAGGGACCGGGGAGGGTTTTGTGTGAGAGACCTGATGTACTGATCAGGCACTCTAAAATGTGCATTAAAAATGATCTGCAGTAGTTAAAAGTAATGCTGAGAGCCAACCAAAGGAATCTCTTTAAAAAGGTAATAGCCACTTGCCATAATTAAACAAACTGCACAAGCTACTTAGGATATAATTGTTCTATTATTTTCTTTGTAGACGTCTCTCCACTCTCTTAGCACAGGCAGCCTGAAGGGCCAGGATTGCCCATATAGTCTGAGGCACAGAGCTAGAAGGGGCTGTGTCTCATAAATTCTCTATCTCTGCCCTAGTACAGGAGGAGAGCTGACATCTACATGGTTTGAGATGCTAAAACTCTCACTTTCCCTGGTAGCGCAACCCTCTCCCCTTACAGTGCTGTTTCTTTTGCAGTAGGTGAGAAAAAGAATCATCTCTCTCTAGTGGTATTGGGCGGTGCTGCTTGTTTTTACTCCTCCCTTGCCTGTGGAAGTGAAGAGCTTCTATAAAGGCATTTCTGTCTCTCTTCCCACTCCTAAAGCGAAGGGTCCTGCCTCATCTCAGGGGAACTGTTTACTAGGTTGCTGCAACGTGAATTTCTTCTTCAGCAACATCTATACTAAATATCTGTTCACTTACATCATTCGGCATCCTGCATGAATTGGTAACCTTGCATGGAGGATTATGATTATCTTATGCGAAGAAAGCACATGATAGTGGTCAGTACAATATTTTTTTTTTCTTATTTTAAATTTCCATGAGTTAGAGATTACAATGACTCATGGCTTGGAATGAGCTGAAATCCCTAAGGTGCTTGTTACCGCCTACTATCACTTATTGAATTTCTAACATAGTGGAGGGATGTCTGCAGAGAAATATGATGTACAATTATAAAAGGTTATAGCTTCATGTTGCTTGTACAGGAGTTATTAGCATGGCATAACTTCACTCTTGCTGTTAATTTCCCAGCGGCATGGTTATTAAGTACATTGTTCTGTATTTTTTCTAGGATGTTGACATATGTTGACCAACAGTGACATTGTATGTCAGCACTGCTGCATTGACTCCCTCCTGAATTCAGAAGCATCAAGAGAGATTTCATATGTAAGGTATGTTCTCACAGTTCCACTGAAATATATTTCTCTTTATATTAAAAAGAATAATTCATACACTACTATAGAGAATGGCAGCTATTTCTGGGGAGCAAAGGGTTAACCCCAGTTCAGGTTCCCCTTTGGCAGGTGCTCAGAGGAAGGGCTATATAGCAGAAGTTCAAAGAGTAGCTGTCTTGGTAACCTTTGGGAGGGTTAGACTCCATGCCTAGGACTCTCTGGAGTAGATTGTCTTGTGCTGAATTAATGTGTGTGTTTTCTGGTTATAATTCTCTTTTTGACTAAAAGTTTTGTTGAGTGTAAGTGTGCTTTTGTTTCTGCTCTGTGAAAAAGAGCTCTCTGAATTTTGTAAAGTGGATTCATTAAATGGACGCTACCAAATTTGGACTGTATATACTGAAAAAAAAATCATATAAATATATTCATCATTTTCCTTTAAGAAAAATCAGTCAATGTAAGCATTTTGTTTTTAATTTAAACCGGGCAATGTTTGGTACTGTAGTATTGTTCTAGTGCATCTAATCCAGAAAGCAAATAGAAATTGACCAGCTCATGTTCATTTTCCAAGCTGACAAAAATGCAATTCCCTCCCTCCCCCCCCTGTCTTTCCTCCCCAAAACAGTAAAATGGTGAGAAGTTGGAGGGTTTTTTCTTTTGGAATAATTGATGTTTTCAGGATATTTTTTTTTGTAATGGCATGATACATTTGAAGTATAAACATAAAGTGTTCCTTTAATGTTTATTTTAAATATTTAGTGATATTTATTAAATGTCCTTCACGTTAATTTTTCAGTCCTGACTCATATTTCTAAAATTCCCTATGGTACTAGCAAATAAACAGGCATTCCCCAGCTTGAAAGTAGGTGTGACCTCAGCATACTTTTTTGACTATTTCTAAGTGCTGTTTGGATCTGTTGTATTTTCCCACTTCTGTTATTCCATTTCACCTGAACTCCATTAACATATAGTCCCAAAATGTCCGTGTTTCCCAGTCAGTATTTTCCTTTGGAATGATGTCTGAGTGCTGCAACCTTGTATTCTGCTGTTGTAGACTAAAATTCAAGACTGCTTACCTTCAGTTCGGAAGCAGCTGCAAGCACAGGATGGACAAGTATGGCTGGGAGAGTATCAAGGCTGAGGCATACAAGTTGCTTTCCCTGGTCAATGTAGTTATTCTGAATGTTCATAGTTGTGAAGGAAAGCATAATCGGGCCTTGAACTAGCATTTGGTGCCGTAAACAGAAGTGAGTGAAGGTGAAGGGCTATGTGTTACCCTTAGTATTATATTAGTGTAACACCCGAGAGGGACAGTGAGCCCAAGTAATTCATCAGGATTCACCTTGGAGCATCTCCTCCTGATATTCCCCATAAAGTCTGTGGGGCCAAGGTCCTGGCATGGTAACCGTTCCTCACTCTGCAGAAGGTTTGTGTCTTTCTGGGATCCCCTTGTCTCTTGAGGGAGACATGCAGCCATTGGAGTCTCCCTCCCTATTGCAGTTATGCATAGGAGCCATGGACAGGTTTCTCTGGACATAAATGCCACTGTTAGCAGCTTAACAGCAGAGTTAATGCCCTTAGCCGCACAGGTTTTCACTCCTGTCCATGGGTTCCTAAGTAGGGCCTCCTTTGAGCCTCTACTGTGTGGTAGAGACATATAGGGACTGCCAGTTGTTTAGAGGAAGGGCAGGAACAGGCTATGTTGGTTCTGCTTGTACTTCCCATGGGTTCAAGGCACCTTTTGTCTTGGGGTACTTCTAGACTACATGCCTCTGTCGCCAGAGGCATGTAGATTAGGCTACCAGGCATAGGAAAATGAAGCAGCGATTTAAATAATCGCCGCTTCATTTAAATTTACATCCTGGGATGAGGCATACCTGGGTGGTCGACAAATGCCTTTGATGTCGACACCCGCGCGTCCATTTACAAACAGCTGATCGGCGAGGCATACCTGGGTGGTTGACAAATGCCTTTGATGTCAACACCTGCGTGTCCAGACTACCGCGCTGAGCCGACAAACAGCTGATCAGCTCAGCGCGGCAGCCATGTAAATTTAAATGAAGCGGCGATTATTTAAATCGCTGCTTCATTTTCCTATGCCTGGTAGCCTAATCTACATGCCTCTGGCGACAGAGGCATGTAGTCTAGACGGACCTTTAGTTCCTACTCATTTGCTCCTCTCTGGGCTGCGAAATGCAGGGGATTGTGTTGTGTAATCTAGTAACGAGCAAAGGAAGGCAAATTCAGTCTCCTCCCGCTTTCAGGTTTAACTTTACCCTGTGGACTTAGCCTCATTCCTTTCACTCTCCTGAAGGGATTAATGTATCAAGAGGGCTGAGTGTTTCTCTGTAAAACAGACACAATCAGTTACTCAGAGAGCGAGGAAATGCTACTTTTATGCACAGTGAAATGAAGCCGCACAGTGCAGTTCATTGGGAAGCTGAAAGGAGCGAGTAATGTCTATGGCTGGGGAGGTTATGTACACAAAAATAAAATTGGCTTTAAAATTTGGTGGTGAATGGGGCACTCATGAAAACAAAGATCTTAATGGCACTGGTCAGAAGTAGGAGCTGTTGGATACAGGCGCTGAGTAATTTTCATATGGTGCTCTGCCATTGTCCCTCTGCTAGACTGCTGCTGTTCAGTCCCTGATGGACTAGTGACCAGATTGCTAAATAGAGCAAATAATATGGGCGGGGGGGAGCAGAAAATAGGGGATAAAGGAGTTCCCTTAAGGCTGGTCTCGTGAGGTGTTGAAAGTCTTTCACTCCCACTGCTCTCAACACCTTAGAGGATTAGCACCTGGGAGAAATCCCATCCTACATCCATGGGGGCATTATAGTTAAAAGACAAGAACTGGGTCTGATTCACAAGGACAGAGCCAGCCCTGTGGGTGTACAATACTCAATGGCCATGTGTGGTGCTTCTAGGACCTGTGATGGGCCTGAAGCATCTCAGGGTATGTCTACACTAGCCCCCTAGTTCGAACTAGGGAGGCTAATATAGGCATTCGAAGTTGCAAGTGAAGCCTGGGATTTAAATATCCTGGGTTTTATTTGCGTCTTCCCGTCCGGTTGCCATTTTTAAATTCTACTAGTCCGAAGTAACTGCCCGTGGCTACATGCGGCACTGAAACGGTAGTTCAAACTAAGTCCTTAGTTCGAATTAACTGTTACACCTCATTCCATATTCCATGAGGAGTAACAGTTAATTCAAACTAAGGACTTAGTTCGAATTACTGTTTCAGTGCTGCGTGTAGCCGTGGGCAGTTACTTCGGACTAGTGGAATTTAAAAATGGTGACCGGATGGGAATATGCAAATAAAACCAAGGATATTTAAATCCCAGGCTTCACTTGCAACTTCGAATGCCTATATTAGCCTCCCTAGTTCGCATAGAGGTTGGAAGAAACCAGCCAGGAGCAGAGATTGCTACTACACAGTGCCTGCTGCAACGGTGACCTAATTGGATATACGTAAAGGAAACATACATAAGCCTTTTGGTGAGCATTTCAGCCTGCCAAACCACAGTCTGACAGACTTGCAAGTAGCGGTCTTGTCACAAACCAGCTCCACAAGCCAGATCCACAGGGAGGCCCTGGAATCACAGTTCATCTGCAAATTCAATTTAATGCTGTGGTCACCAACCAGTAGATCACGATCTACCGGTAGATCTCAGGGGCTCTAAGAGTAGCTCTTGAGCCCTCTCTGAACTGCACTCCTGCGCAGTACATTTACATTAGATTTCCTCATTTGAGGAGCAGCTACTCACCGAGCAACAACACAGTGAGTAGCCTGAAACGGTAGTTCAAACTAAGTCCTTAGTTCGAATTA